ATGTCCCTAAGGCCTCCAACAAAATCACTGTTACCTTGTGGGAAAATATACGCCACACGCCTATGGCCTGCGCTGAGACAAAGAGCAGGTCGAAATTGTATTCCTGCACCTTTGCTGCCAAGGTGGACATCGAAACTCGATACGTATAGCTCAACAACTGAGGTAATTTGATCTTATTAATGTTTTAGTTTGTCCGATATGTGTGATGTTTAACAATGAAAGTGTGCTTTAACTATATCAAAGCTACACAATCACACCCCCGCCCCTACCCCTGCAACCGCAATCTCAATTCTTCAACTCTTACAAAACACTGAAACACAAAAATCGTTATTTGTTACCTTCATTTCTTGCCTGTAGCTCTGTCATCAGATTGATTTTTAAAATCTACAAGCTTTGTTGTCACTGACAAAGTAGAAACCTTGTGTCATCAAAATCCGTGCGGTACTTTCCAAGTTATAGAGGGGCCAAATGAGTGACAAGTACATGTCATATATAACATCCAAGCAACAAAATATCTTAGTTTAGACATGTTGTGCGAGAACAATACTTCCTGGTCAATTGGCGTAGGAAGTAGAGAGAACTTTTTGTGCAGATGCCTTGTTACAAATAACTCTTCTCCACTGTTGCATAAAAGTCGGTACTTAATAACGCATATTTCATTAGACAGGCTTTCGCCGAAGACCGTCTATGTCAGAAAAATGAGGTGGAAGACATAACAAAACTAATACCCGGAAAACGGAAAAAAGCTTAGCGCCATATTCAAGACAGTTTATAGCATCTGTTAGGAAAGACAATTATCTGCCTAGAATTGCGGTGGTAGGTTTCAGATTCACAAATTACATATTCCTCTACGTATTATCAACGTTGTTATCCTAGTGTACTCTGATTATAACATTGGAGGGAAGATCAGACCTTTACAAAGTATGGTAAATCGATCATATACTTCGTTAAATCTGCGTACTTTAGGTCCGTATCGTCAGTCGTCTCTACAATTGTAGGGCGCCTTTATGGCCTCCTTGATTGTCATAGTTTTCTACTTCTCCGTGTCATCGCTCTATTTTGAGGTTATGTCACAAACATCTATTTGCATCAAATTGTGCTTGCTTTTGAGTTATATCATGTTTTATCAGCCTGAAATTTCCTACAATTTAAAAAGAAAACATATCTTCACAATAGGAGAGTGCTGACGCTGACACGGGACAAGTGTAATCTAGAAATTTTTGAAGGAGAGAAAGAAGTATGACAATCAAGGAGGCCATAAACGCGCCCTACAATTGTAGGGAGGACTGACGATATGGGCCTTAATCACTTTGGAGCGAATTTTTACAATATACAATTCTATAAAATCAATTGTTTCCTAATACTGTATGCCAAAATTGTGTTCTCTTTTCGGTAATGATTCAGTGGGAAAACATCTGTTATTGAATTCAACACATCCATGATTTGTGGAATCCACGTGATCATCATGATGATTAGATTATTATCTTTGTGTGGCTAACATCTGCTAATGGTTATCATTACCGGTATAAGCTCTGCAAACAGGGATTAGTGGTAATATTTAACGTTGTCTCGTGCATCTGACGCACTATGATCAATCATCAGTGCCACTATCGTCCATTGTCAAAATATTTTGAACCTGTCAACATGACAATTGAGGAAAAAACATGAATTGGACTGGGCAACAAAAAGTTGAAAGTAGGTATTTGAGATGGACCACCAATTAGACCATAGACCTAAATTTTGTCGAATCTATGAACGACCTTAAAAAGTGAACTTCGCAATCTTTTGTTTTGGCCGCCCAAAATTGTTTAATCATAAATCAGAAAAATATTTACAATTAGTTAACGATATGTTGTTTAACTTGAAATATCTAGGCTGTAAGACAGGTATCAAACTATATTATTCACATTTTCAATTAGATCGATTTCCCGATTCCCACCAGAATTTCAACACAATGGAAGGTAGTTACCAAGAAGGTGGACATACATACGATGGCTCATCACTGGTGGAGCCTTCATCAGTACCTAAAACAATCGCCTCTTCAAGAAATGATTGAAAGACCTTTTTCGCCTCAACCACAGTAACTTTTTAAAATAAACTGTGAAAAAAAAACATAATTTTGACATACATGCATGTAGAGTTCAAACTACAGCTGCTAAAAAAAACAGTGCTATTTTCATAACCACCACACTTAACTTAACCGAAAACAAATAAAACACTATAGAAAATGTTTCACTGTTAACCAGGGTAATTCATTCACCTTGTGTTTGTGCTACAAAAGTATGATCTTCAGCAACTATCTTCTTATCTTTCCTAGGATTGTATGACCTAGAGTGGCGAAGTAGGTAAAACTCACCGTTTCCTGCCACGATTACCGCACCACTGCCCGCCCACCTCAAAATAGGCGTGGCTACGAGCGTCGCCAGCGCCGCCGCCAAGCATGCGGCTGACACAAGCAACGCCCCTGATCTGGCGTAGGTCTCCACTGGCCCCTCCCACCACACTGATACGGACGACTGAAGGGCGAGGAATGGTTCTAGGGCGGATGTCGAGAGCAGGTGGATGATGCAGAGGCAGAGCACGTTGGACAGAAGAGCACGGCGGGAGTACACTGATGATCCTGTTCGGCCTAGAATTAAAAAAAATGTACTTCAAGAAATGCTCGTCTATAAGGAAGATGTAATCAGAGATGAACCCCAATTCATGATCAATTTACTTGGCCACTGATGGTAGTCTGACGTTAGTTTGACAATTACTGGTAGCTAATGACTTAGAATTTTAATCAGCAATGAAGTGATAGCCAACCCAGTATCATGGGATTTATCTGCCCACTGATTTGATGCTAACACTGTTACCCTAGTGTATGTTATCTCGGTGTGATATAAGTAAATATAGTTCAATATTAATCAGATCCTTTATTGTTAACATATGGTATAATGTGATACATCTGATTTCGTGATTTGGCAAACTGGGGGATACGAACCATACATGGGAATACATTAAAAGATGAAATAAGAAATGAAGACACAAAACACTAAAGTTAGAATAAACATGTAAATCGAACGGGAGATGACAAAAGAAAAGAAAATGCTTAAGACAAATAATCCAGACGGGAAAAAATCATAGGCCGAACACACAAAAGATGCATGGAAGAGTCAATGTTGGACTAAAATGAGCATCTTGCGTATTTATAGGGTGAGTTTTTAGTGTGAAATCGATATCTAAAGCTATTAACAAGAATTGTGACTCATAACTTTTTTTAAATGGAATGCTCTGCATATTTTATGTATATTTAAAAAAAAGTTTGTTATGAGATACTGTTACAAATAATTTGTTAATCTACCTGCAAAATTGACCGACTTGCAAGCTTCCAAATTTGAGTGTTTTTCGGAAAAATATTCCGTAACTCCAGAAGTAGCAATCCTAACCCTCCTTATGCTGTATCAAACATCTTCATCTGAAAAGGTCTTTTACAATATAGTAAAATATACAGGGTTATACAATTAAAAAGTAATGCTTGTGTTGCCAGTTAGTTATGAACCATCCTGGTATATTTTCTAAGTAAGGAGTGTGCAGTTGCCTACAATTTCTGTGAATAATATTTCAGATATCTTTTACAATACTCGAGTCATAGACAGATCGAGCGCTAGAAACTCCCCCTGATAATAATAATAATAAAACGTCTTTTATTGAAAAATGATGATAATGATTTTTATCTCTATTCATTGAGTAGTAGTATTGAATCCTTTTCAGCTTCTTTTGCATTGTAATGAAAAAATGGATGAATTTGCTCTCGAAGCTATTCATTCTTCAACATTTTTTTGTATTTTTTGATGATAGAGGATTTTTAAGTAACACTTCAGTATGCCAAAATTCTTTATTCATCATATTTTCAATGGCTTCACATCATCCCCTTGTGAATGGATGGATTATAAAATCTGAGAAAAGCTGTTTCTCAACGGGAGCAATTTATCGTAATCGATAGTCATATTTTTAGCAAGCCTCTTATGTCAAAAGTCGACGTCTACACCTTATCTTTATGCAAAGCGAAAATCAATGGGCTATAAGAGATGTATAGTAATGAACTCCTTACTAGTTTTTTTGCTCGGAATAGGATAGACGTAAGAAGCAGGGAAGGATATTTTTCATGCAAATTTTGATGGCAAGATATGACTATATATATGCAAATTTTATTGAAGAGATGAAAGATGGGTTGGTGTAAATATATTATACCATGCTCATTTGACTTTTATTTGGGACGTATCAAATTGAGCTCCATCCCAGATATTTTTCTTCTTCTTTCTTAATCACTCTGTGCCTTCAAATTGAAGCGATTTTTCAGGGAACAAGTATTTTAGGAATTTTACGAAGGACTGCTGGGTCCACTAATTAACACGTTACCAACACTGTTGTACAAAATATAATGATGTCTTCGGAATGGAAAGTAGTAAGGAATTTGGAAACCCAATCAAACATTTATTTTACTTAAACTAGGAATAACATCTACCAATTTGCAAAAATACTTTTATGAGAGTTATGTTAAACACAATTACTGCATATACATACAACGTTTGTCGATAACATAATTCATTGACTTCTTATGAAATAAATGTCAACGTTAATGTGTTTGCATGCGCTATTTGTGTTTGGCAAAATTTTATAATACCAAACGGGAAAGTATGAACGTGTCAATCAGTTTGCTCCCTTTTTTGTTTTTCTCTCAGCTTACTATTTATTACTAGATTTGTCTTTTATAGCTTCCGCAATCTTGCAAGCTCTGACAAAATTTTGTCACTCAAATTTTCGTTATGGTATTTCAGTGTCTCCTAGAAGAGGCCATTTAGCCTGTTGTAAAAAAAATGATAAGACGGATTTTAAATGAAATACGGATACAAACAATTTTGCTGGGTTCTTGTTTTTATTGGAGAAGTCACTTTTTCACGTATACTCAGAAAACCTACGAAGAAAGATATTTGAAAACATGCCAATTTTATTTTCAGAAATTCTAAAAGTCCTGGTCTATAACTCTTCCGTACCCGGCGGCGGCGTGGGAAATAACATGTAATTGAACAACTGAAATGCATCTGAAAGGATATGAATTCTTCGAATGCAACCACTTCTGAATATAAAATTCGCATAGAACAGTTCCCGCTTCTATAGTACTCAAGTGTTCAAGATGTTATAATGTATCATTGTGCCCCTGGAAGTGAATTACATCAAAGAGTTATCCGCTATATGGATCTATATTGTTTCCAACTTGGACTATCTACATGTCAAAGGTCGCTCCTGTTGCCAGGGAATAATGTTATCAGGAGCGACAAAAGCTCTCTTGCAAGGGAAATGTCACCGTTTTGAATATTCAACTGCAGTTGAAATTGTACAGAGTGCAAAATTGAAGTGGACACGAAACCTTAAATAGATTGCGTATTCATAGCCGAACTGTGGGATACCATGTTCAAGTTCACGTAGAATCATATTGTCGATATCCAGTGGACAACATATAACTGAAACATTTTATTTTGGTATTTTATCGACAGTTAGGATTTATGTATGAAAATGATATCACAAACATAAATACCCGTGCCTCACAAACCACACCTCTCATCTTCAAGTTCATTTTGTAGTGTCTCCCAAGTATTTTTCTTCCACTGGTCTTAAGTGGTTGGCTTTATGAACCTTATTATCCGAAAAATTTCTTAGAAAAAATGGCGTCAAGTAGGTTGACTCTGCACTTCCCACGCAACGCCGTTATCATTTCATAAAGGATTATGTTCAACACAAACTACGTCTGTGGAAAAAGCCAAACACGTCCTTACAATTAGTCCATCAACATTATTTCCCCACGGTACCAGTACTGTATCTGGAAACGTCACCCTCTCCCCGAAACTTAACCCAGTGAGACGTGGATGCGCGGTCATAGCATAGGAAACAATTTACTCTCCCATGGTAGAAATACGTATAGCGTATATACCATACCAGAACACACTCAGCACAGGAGCAGCAGCTGGGGCCGGTAGGTACGCGATCCGTCTGCTGAAAATATTTTCCCAAGTTTTAAGGCCTAATGTACGGAGAAATCGATGATGAAATGAAATGTCCAATATGTGCGTAGAATTACCAAGGTTGGGAGCATATAAATGAACTAAGATAATAATATTGAAATAAACCCTCCTCACCCCCTACTGCCTCCACCGCCATTTTTTCCTTTGACATGTTTTTCAATTTTCAAAAATGATTATGATCCTCTGAAACGTCAAAAAACTAAGATTTAGCGATCTCAGCCCGCACTTTAACAGTTTTCAAAAACTACAATGCTTTGCATAGCAGTAACATTGTGTAAAAATTTCATGGAAATAGCAGATAGGCAGACAGAATGAAACGGGTGACACGGTTTTCCGTGATATAACATCCAAAAAATATAATATATCGTTCTCGAAAATTTACTCGAATATAATACGTCCCCGCCAGTAGGCATGGGAAGTAAAAAGTATGGGACCATTAAGTTTGGTTAACCTTAAGCGCCAGTTCACATCGCCTAATCGGAAGAAACATTTTAACCTACAAGAAATATTGGAAATATGGAGTTTCCAGACACAGGCGTTCATGTGATTATCGTTTTTCATGCGGAAGTCCAACTTTCAATAACGTATGAAGAAACTGAATATATTTGATTCTGTTTTAAGGATATTGGAAAAAGTCTTTTGTGGATCAACCACCGATTCTGACTATGAATTATAAGTTTTTTGTGAGGATGATTTAATACCACCAGGTCTTGTGGTAATAGGTTGTTCACTACAAATCGTTTATATATGGTTATTCAGACGCTGAAATCGCAAAAATTTACCTGTTTGGCTTCCATGTCCTCCACCTCCTCTAACAACAGCTAAGAGCCTCCTTACTGACGTTGCTCCAATTGAGCTGTTCATTGAGTCTCTACGCCTGGTGGTACTGTTTTGATGCAGATTACAGCGAGATCGTGTCGATATTGGAGAATAAGCGACCATATGCTGGAACAAAATCATATTGTTTACACACCATGTTATCAAAAAGTCCATATATTTAAAAATATCAAGTCAGCAGCGGTGGCCGCAGTAGTAGACTCTTCGGTCTCCTGATCAGTCGCCGTGCGCTGTGCGGTTCGAATCCCGTCCCAGGAGAAATTTTTCTCTTGGCTATGGATGTTGTGATTGTCCGTAGGTGGTAGACAGTTTCTGACGAATGCGGAGGTACCACCCGGCGGATCTCGCAGGCGGAGCCAGAATGTGTGCATGTTGTATGCACACGTGTTCCCTCGCCAGAGTCCGTGTGGCGTTCCCCCTTTCCCTGTATCCCCTTATAGCCCCACGGTACCCAATGGGTATTTAGGCCTTAGGCCTTCGTGGTAGTTGGAGTATAAAAAAAGGTCTATAGGTACTTGACTAGCATTACTGTAAGTCCAATCGTTCATAGTTTTGACGTATTCTATGTCATCAATGATAATCCCTGAATAAAGATTATTGGGGCAAATGTATCTGCGGGAAAACCTATGATGCGTGAAACATGCACTAATAGGTGCGTAAAATCATCGGGGTTGGAAGCGCATAAACATACTGCAATTAAAAAAGTGAGATATACCCTCCACACCTCCTAAAATCCCCAACCCTTAATTTTTAACACCTACATTTTTTTTCTCAATATGATCAGGAGCCTCTGAAACGAAGTTTGAGCAATAGCTTTTTTTCGTTTTTTCTCTTTCTCGCCGTCGCCACCAAACCGATTTTCAAAAGCTACAAATCTTTTTAATAATAATAATAATATTTATTACCCTCATTAAACAGTATATACAAAGTTAACAAACAAAAAAAAGCCTTAAGAGGATAAAGGGCTACATCAGCTTGCCCCTTAAAGAAGCAGCTGCTAGAGCAAAAAAAAAACAAATTTAAACAATTCTATAGTAAGACAAATGGCTATTAAGACATTGATAATAATGTTTTAATTTTAAGAAATATAGCGAAGTATAGTAAGTAGAGAATTGGAAATTTAGAGTGAGAAGAGAAAGCGAGGAGAAAGAGCAGAAGAGAAAAGGGGGAGCAGGGGATGTGTTTTCTATGATATCTGAGACAGTAAACCACTTTTAAGGTTCCTCTAAAATGAAGCTACCGAGAGAGAAAAATCTTTTATTTTTAATTTATTTACCAAAAAGGCAATTTGATATGAGAATGATTTCATAAATGATTCTTTATTGTGTGATGGCATTGTAATCAAATTCAATCTTCTAATGTTTAGATTATGTACATCAGTCTCGTAACTATTTTTTAAGTAAAGATAAGGAGGGATATATTATAATCTTGTAAACAAAGGAAGTAGAGTGCAAGGTATGCCTGTGAGCCATAGTCAACCATCCCAGTTCAGGTAGTTTGTGGGATACTCTTTGTCTCTGCCTTATGCCAAATATCAGTCTCAGACACGAATTCTGAGCTTTTTGAACCCGTTTTAGTTCCACACCATCCAGAAATGGGCCATGTACCATATCAGCAAAGTTGAAGTGGGACAACATTAAAGCTTCGCAGAGCGTGTGATAGGTAATGTCTATGGAAGTAAATTATTTTTAACATTGAATATGTTTTTCTTAGGCACAGAGTGATGTGCTCTCTAAACTTAACTTTAGAGTCAACCACTAAGCCCAAATCCTTCACGGAATCCCTAAATGATATTATATTGTCCCCTAGTTTGAGCTTAATATTATTTTCTAATACGTTTCTGCAGGAATCACTACAAAACAATATAGCCATCGATTTACTAGGGTTTATCTTTAACAAGTGATCTTCAGAGGTTTTGAGAAGGCTATTCAAGTGGGTATTCAGTCGGTTTGTTATAAGTTCTGACAGATCAGGATTAAAAGAGGCATAAATTTGAGTGTCGACAGCATAAAGATGATATTGACAATAACTCAGCGACTTCATGAAATTAAAAGTATATAGGCTATACAATAATGGACCCAAAATACTGCCCTGGGGCACCCCTGATGTAATTGTAACTGCATCTGATATGTTCCCGTCCAAAGTCACGCGCTGCATCCTTTCAGATAAAAAAGAATACATAGGCCGGCTGCTCTAATCCAATATATTTCAAAATAGCCACTAGTATCTCATGATTAAACGGGCCAAGGATTAGCGGACAAACAGACCGACAGACTGATGGAAATGAGCGACATGGTTTCTCGTTCTCATATAACATTCAAAAACACATATCTCATTTTCGAAATTGTTCACTATTACAATACATACTTGCCAGGAAGCGTTTTAAACTATCCATATAAACTATTTTTGACCTTGGCCCAAATGCAATCGAAGTCCTATAAATCGGCAGCAATGTCCATCATACAAAATAATACATATGCCCGAAGCCAATGTTTCATAGAATAACTGTTATAAAATAAAAGGCGGATTAAATTTAGTTTATTTATTATTATATATTTGGAAATCTGAATATTTCAAATACAGGGCTAGTTTTATTACAGATTGAATTACGTCAAACTATCATGTTCCATTTCACCCGTAGCCTGCAAAATGGGCTGTCATTTGCAAGCAAAAATTGATATTCAATATTTTCATGGAAATTCGTTTTTTGTGTTTTGCCGTTTGAAAATAGATGATATATTCACGTTTAAAAACTAGCATATTATTTCGTTAATTGGTTTTTGCACGATTTGTCGATAACAACTGATCACTTATCACATAAAGCTTCACCGTGGATGCTCGAAAAATGTTTAAAAACGGTGTGAAGCGGATTTAATAATTCTACGTATTTGTGCTATTTCGATTTTCGATAAAAATATTGTAGACTATCGAGTACAATGCTCCCCAGGATGGAATTTCGCATCCTCTGGGTAGATAGACGAATCGTTACACATTCTCTTGGAAACCCTATTGGATGTATTCTTTTAGAATGTTGCTGACAATCGTCTTTTCTATGAGGCTAGGACTATAAAAATGGAACTTGATGAAAACAATAAAAATACTCAGTGACATTAGAAGTGTTACATGAAAAAAAAAACATAATTTCTTCAACTTGATTTTTTG